TGCTACTAGTAGCTAGAAGCTACTAGTAACAGGCCCATTGCTACTAGCAACAAGATCTTTGTATCCAAATCTGAAGTCCCTTTGGGTTGGGGCATGGTGCCGATAGCGTGCCGGCGTGCCCGACCTTCTGGCTTTTGGGGTCCATTTTGCACCTTGTTTCTGTCCCTGTCCTTGCCGGTTCGTTGTTGCCGAGCTGCAGGTTACATGTTTGCTGCCTCGGTGTGAAAGCTGGAACGCACATGAACAATTCAATTCTTCGTAGGACCTTGCCTTTGCACAAACATCACAAATTGGACAAGTAGTGCAGCGCCCAATACTGTCGCAGCTGTGCTCGCCCTCAACATTGCTGGATGACCAGCTTGGTTTTGGACCCTTGCGATTCCGTTCCTATCTGCTCCCTTTATGACCAGCCAAGCACCAAGCTTATGCGTCGATGCGCAAGACTATCTATGAATGCCAGAGGAGTATCCGCGGAATCTGAAGTATGACATCTTGCCCAAAGGTGTTTTTGTTAGTGTTTTTCCAGTTGTAATGCCTATTTCAATGATTCCTCCAAGATCTTGAAACTTCATGAGACTTCATGAGGCTTCACGGTGTCTGATGCTATGGGGCAGCTGCCAAATATCCAGATGTTGGGCAATGTGGTGAATCAGCAGCGCCTTGGCCGCAAAACCGTCACTTATGAGTGCTGCGATTTTGGAGGAACACGAATATGTGACATGTGAATGCGTTCAACAAGGCGTTAACTTGTGAACTTCTTGAACACTTCTTGAAAATACTTCCAAGTCTTGTCGAAGCATTACGAGCATAGCTAAAGGAAAGCCCAAAGGTCCCAAAGATGTGGGGTGTCAATTTGGGCCCTGTCAAATTCGAGGCTGGTGGAGTTTGAGGCCCAGAAGGAGCGAAGTCGGAGCACCAATACCACTCGTCAGCCTTCATGAGCTTGTTTGTGCCTGCGGCCCGAGAACCGTAAGCGTTTTTTGTTTCTCGAGATCCTTCTCCTCCCCCTCCTCATCATCATCATCATCATCATCATCTTCTTCTTCTTTCTTTCACGACGCCCTCGGCTCAGGGAGGTAGCGTTGGCCCTCTTGAACATATGTCAGGTCGATGCTTCGCGCCGCGGTTTCCTTGGCCTGGTCAATCTACACGCTCTTCAAGAATCGGTGGAGCAAGGTCCATCCCACTATAGAAAGGCTGACAGGCGCAGAGGCGCCCAGGTCGAGCCTGAGTCATGAATTGGAACATCAGTTCCTCACACAGCGCTCCGCGCTTTCCCAAAGATCGCGGTGCTGGTGCTGCAAATGCTGCTTGAGGTCCGGCGGCCGCATGTCACACAGCGCGAAGGAGTGCACCAAATGGGGATAAACATCAGGCCAGTCCAGCAGCAAACGAAAGTCGAGCCGATTCTTGGCCGGAAGCCCAGCATCAAAACAGGCACTGTCCTGACTGAACGTGTGTTTCACGTTCACCAACACTTGCTCCCTAGTCAAGGTTGCCAAGGAACCAGTTTCAGCTGAAGGAGGCGCTACATCGCATAGTTGAGCGCCGCCGTGGGCATCCAGTTGGACCCTTAATGCAGCTGTTCCTGAGCACGGATTCCGGAAGCTGAGGCGCATAGACAGGAGATGACAGGAGGCTTCGCATCACCCAACAAAACCAGTGAGGGTCATGCCAAACTGCTGGTTGGTAGTGTTCAGAGTGAGGGTCAAGACCTACATCGTAAGAAACCCTAGCCACTGTGAAGGAGATGTTGTGAAGTGAGGGACAAAAATGGATGAGGCCCAGGTCAATTTCTGAAAGCTCTTGTGATGGAGGTGAGGGATCTTAAATTTTTGTCCCTGACTTCAAAAACAAGCCACCATAATTGCAGAGCCCTCAGCAAATTGAGTGATAGATTTCCACAAGGGCCCACGCTCTTCTAGATTTGTAGATGGCGAGGGAGAGCACACGTGTCAAACGGTGAGGCTTCAGGTAGGAGCTGAGCAATGCGCCCCTTCCATGTGATCCTTCAACGCGTCAGTGTGCGCAGCGGTTGCAGCCTGGTATTTGGCCGTCGGCAACAGCCAATATGACCGTCCCATAGTGACATAGTGGCGTGGCCGCATAGCAGAGTAAAAACTTGGTACATGAGCAGGTTTTGAGATATGATGAAAATTCTGCCAGCTGATGAAGAGGAAGGGTTCTCCACAGTGGCGGCAGATTGGTTCGCCATCCACAGTGTCGCGAGCTTCAAGAAGTTGAGGTCCAAGAGGATGAAAAAGTATGCGTGTAGAGCTCATGTCTTCGAAGTGTCAAAAGATGGTTACAAGTGAGTCCACATCTGGTACAGTCAAGGCGAGCCTCTGCCAGAAGAGTTGCAGCGAGTCTTGACGTTCGCAGACCAAGGGCACGAGCAATATGAAGGCCAAGAAGAAAATGCAGTCTCCCGACTTGGAGAAATGGATGCGCCCACTGGCGCGCGTCTAAAATGTCTGTGTGCGTTGTATGTGGCAACTGTCGAAGTTGGGCCATGACTTGTTGATGCAAAGAGGAATTCGGAACACTTGACAAGTGTTGTCAACCCGACAGCATCAAGACCATAAAGCGCAATGGGAAACGTGTTTGCCAAAGTTGTTTCTGTGTGTTCGGCGTGAAGAGGGTTCAGCTTGAACCAAGCGTGCAAGCCTTCAGCCCTCTACATGGTGACGCGCTGAGGGTTTGTATTGCGTCTGAACTCCAAGGTAGTCCTGTCAGGCGCGGATGGGAACCGTGGCCCGGAATCAATTGTGTAACTCAAAGCGTTCTTTCTTGCCCATTCCTCTTGACTCCCTCAAGGCAGCCGACTTTTGCATGTTGACAGACATGCCCTGACGATGCCACAATGGGTTTGCTTTTGCCTCTTCCATTGAATGATTTAGGCAGGCCCACGTTGAAACTGCCATACAGTGATGGCTCGCGCCCACGGTCAGTTGTCTCACAAGCCGTCCGTGTGTGGGCGGTCGCCCTGTTAAAGACCAGTGTGTAGTCTGCCTTGATGTACAAAGAGCAATATCAAGGTTTTTGACAAAGGAGTTTGAGGCGCAATCAGACGTAGCGCCTTTGGTTGCGTGGAGGGGTTGTTTGGTTTGCGAAGTAAAACACAGCCGGATATTGCCCTTGCCCAACCAGTGTCTGGTCCATAACTAGGAGGCCAAGTGCCTCAGCCGAGGCCTTCCAGACACAGTTGGGCACTCCAATGCAGCAGGAACGCCAGAGTTGCAAGCTCCTCCTGAGCACGCCCTTATCAACGTCATCATCATCATCATCATCATCAACATCATCACCGTCATTGCCATCGTCATCGTTTTCATCATGTTCGCCGTCATCGTCGTCAGTAGCATCTTCATCGGATTTGTGGCATTGTTAGCGGCTTCACAACCTTGTGATTGTTGTCACGACATTGTCATGGAGCGAGAGTATATATATATATATATAGATTTGGGGTGGGTTGCCCGTGGCCACGGAGTGACAGTGTCGGTGTACGCGCCGCCTTCATTGTAGGCTGTTTCCCCATACTGAAAACGTCATGACCTGGGTAAGAAAAGGTGCGTGACTTCAGTTTTAGGGGCGGCGGTTTGTTTGTGTTGCTTGCAGTTGTCAGAAATTGGCGTGTGATTTCCAGCTGCAAACTTGTTGATGCGCTAAGTGACAGGACCTCACACTGGACTGGTCTATCATTACCTGGCTGAAATCTATTTGCAACCTGCCAGTCATTGCCAAGGACAGGAAAACTCCTAGATGTTCCAAAGTGTGTCACTGTTATTTGCTACACAATATCCTGACAAGGGAATCCTCCATCCTGCGGATGCTCGGTGTGCCATCAAAGCTGGGGCAGCAGCCATTGCCCGGATCTTCATTACCGAAGGGCCAATCAGGTTGTGAGTGTTCAGTCCTTTGACCAAGGTGATCTCGAACCACGGAGGCAGGTGACTTGAGGATTTGCAAAGATGGACGTTTCTGTCCAATACTTGTTGGACCAAAAGGAGAAAGGCCCTCCAGCTTTCATGAACCAGCGTGGCAGGTCGCCAGCTGGATAGTACACCTGCCACCATTGATGTGTTGCCTGCCATTGCAGCAGAAGTCCGGGGAGAGGCCCAGACAGCGAAAACGAGTCCAAAACCAGAAAACGTGGGATGCATGCCGTACTCTAGGTATTGGTTTGCTCACAGGATGCAAACTCTTGGATGTGTCGACTGTTCCGCTTTGTCCGCGTATGTCCCAAGACGTGGTGTTCACTTGTGGTTTGAAGCTGTATTTTTGTTTGACATTCTACGAACGGGGCTCCTGGCATCGCTATTAGGAACATTCTTGCTACTAGTAACCAGAAGCTACTAGGGGCTCCTAGCTTCTTGAGATCCCCATTTTCCTGGACGGTGGCATTCGACGTGGCACGGACGTGTTCAAAGCCCTGGGGCCCGGGGGCCCAGCGGAGACGGCCCAAACCGAAGCGACCGAAGCCACTTTCGGGAGTTGCGGAGGTTTTTGAAGCAAACATACACAAATGACATATCTAATCCAACTTGTGGCCTCTAACGTAGAAGAAATGGCCTCCAACCTAATAGCAATGGGCCTCTAACCTAGAGGCAATGGTCTCCGAACCTGCAATCCAACTCATCTAGATTTTGTCCGCACTTTTCTGAGATTGAGGTTTGGAGCGAACGCAGTGATGATGGCACGCCAGGAGCCGAGACAGGTGATCCCTCCCCGTGAGCTATCAGCTTGTGCTCACTTCGATGACTCAACTGGGAAAGGAAGGCGAACGAAAAAGAAAGTACCAATTTGCAGGGCAGAAAGGGGAGCTGCGCACATGGCATGTCCTGCAACTTTCTGAGACGATACTATTGACTACTCTTGAAATCCTTTTGCAAGCACTATCCTGAGACCTTGCATGTCTGCCAAATGAAGTCGGACCAGTACTCACCGCGCCAACCATCAACCTACTCAACTCCGGGTTTCGACCGGTGTCTCTGCACGATTTTCACCCATTCGGAGGCGAAGGTCTGTCGTAGCGAAGGTCTGTCTGTCCACACGTCGCAGAATTGGGCGCGAATCCAACTTGGAAGTCGCAGCTTTTTGAGAAGCTGTAACTGTAACTGTCCGTTCTTACCTGTAACTGTTGGCAAACAATGATCACTGTCACTATTTTAGAGAAAGGCCTTTACTGACCATCATCATCATCATCATCATCCACTGTTACTCGAGATAATAGGATACACCAGATGCAAGCCAAACATACTATGAATGATGCGTTGCCATTGTCACGAAAGCTAGCGTAGCTAGCTGGAGTTGCTCTTGCAAGCAAGTCTTTATGTGGGTGGCCTCGGGACGAATCCCTAGAAAATTTTCATTACCCCCCCCACCAAAAAAGAGTGAGGGGGGTCGTTCGAACCCCACTGCAGTACAGGCAAGTGCAACCACGACAAGAAGAAGAGGAGGAAGAAGAAGGAGAAGAAGAAGGATAACAACAACAACAACAACAACAACAACAACAACATGAAGATGAAACAAAAGCAAACAACACTATCCACAAACACATTTGAACTGCAAGGAGAACAATACAATAAGAATGGCAACGCGAAGATATCATCGACTAGAGATATTCGATCCTTCGTATCAAGACAGGACGTGGAGACAGCAAGCACAGCAACACCAGGAAGAGGAACAGCACAAGAACGGATAGAGAAGAAAAAACGACTTGAGGAAAGACAGCAGGAATAACAGAAGAAGAAGAAGAAGAAGAAGAAGAAGAAGAAAATAATAATAAGAATTGTGAATGAATGAGCATGTTTGGCCTTTGGATGTGTTTCACTGCGGCCGACAGGCCTTGAGCATTTGGCTCCAACGGCACAAAGCAGTGTGCGCATTCCGCTTCCTTCGTTCTTTCGTAGGATCTCGGGTGCCGCTGTTTACAGTGGCAGCGGAGCCTCTCCGGTTCCGTGGGCCCTGCGCAGCTTCGCTCTTTGGGTAGCTACGCTTGGTGGTGGCGCTTTGGACCTGCTGGTCCTGCTTCTTGCGGCTTGCTGGCCGCTCCTGGCTTTGTGGACGACTACGTCTTCTCGGTGGACTTCGTGCTCTGGACGACTCCGACTCGGCGGTGGACTTCGACCGAACTTTTTCTTGGAGGTCTTCCTGACGGACTTCCTTGGTGGCGTAAAGCCTCTCCCTCGGCCAAGGGATAGAAGGTTGCCTGGTGGTGGACTACATCCTCGTGGAGCTCATGACGGACGAGAAGAAGGATGACCGGGGCTTCGATAGCTACATACCGGTCTGGGACGGCAGAAGCGAGACCCTCAGAGAGTTCAAGAAGGCCGTCCAATGGTGGTTGCACTCGATCGACCTGGAGAAGACCACTTCCTACAACTTGGCCGCAAGGTTTGCCATGCGGCAGAAGGGCAGCGCAAAGTTGAGAGCTTTGGAGTTTGATCCAAAAGAGCTCGAGTACATCCCCGCCGAGAAGGTGAAGGATGATGAGACTGATGAGATGGTTGAGTTGACACCTGCGGTCTACGACGCTGGAATACAGAAGATCCTGGCCTCCTGGGATGACATGGTTGGGAGGTCACAGACTGACCGCAAAGGAGAGCTTCGTGAGAAGTACTACCTTCAGCTTCGCCGTGGAGGTAGTGAGAGCATACCGAACTTTGCACTTCGGTACAGAACGCTGGTTGGAGAGATGAAGGCCGAAGGCATCATGGTGGACCCCAGCGAGCAGGCGTGGTTCTTCAAGCAGAAGCTCGCCCTCACAGAGTTGCAGCGGCAGATGCTGGAGACGACTTTGGGGGTGGAGACGGAGGACTACGGGGCCTGCGAGAGGGAGGCTGTTCGCCTCTTCAAGCGAGTCCATTTTGGACATGGGCATGGACCTGGACATGGAGGACCACAACATGGCGGTCATGGAAACTTCGCTAAGCGACCTACTTCCTTGACGTCTTCTACCTTGTCCCGGTTCCGGAAGAGCTTTCCCTCGACTACTTCGTCTTCAAGCTCTACATGGCGGCGTGGCGGCGGAAAAGGTTTTGGCGGCTCAGTCAATGTCACGGAGTATGAGGACGAGGACCCGCCTGAGTATGAGGCCTTTGAAGCTGAAGAACACCCTGCCGCAGGTGAAGACGATGGTGGTGGAGACTCTGAGAGTCTTGGCGGCTTTGAGGGGCTTCAACAAACCCTTGAGGCCATGGCGACAGAGCTGGATGAGTTGGCAGATGGTTCACAGGCTGATGATGACCTGGCGGCCATTGAGGAACAAGTTGAAGGAGCTGTGGAAGCATTGGAGACCCTTCGTGAAGCGAGGTCACAAATCAACGCCTTGAAGAGAGATCGTGGATTTCGTGGACCTGGAACTTCGAGCTTCAAAGGTGGAAAGGGCCGTGGAAAGAAAGGCTCAACTGGTGCAAAGGACGGCAAGTGCTTTGCGTGTGGCCAGACTGGTCACTGGCAGGGAGACCCTGAATGTCCTGCTGGTGGCAAGAGCTCAGCCAAAGGGAAACAACTTCCGAAGTTTCCCAAACCCATGCACAAGACAGGAGCTTCATCGTCGACTACCCCTCCAAAGTCTTCGACCTACCGCAATGAGGCCAATGCCGCGGAGGTGAACGTGGTCGACCTCCTGGAAGGTGCAAACCACAATGTGTCCTTCGACCTGGAGCCGACGGTCCATGAGATCAACGTGGTTTCAATGCTCTCGGAGGCTTTGACAGCAAGTGCAGCTGGACCTCCGGAGTTGAGCTTGGACAAGATGTACGTTGCAGCTCTTGACTCTGCATGCAACAGGAGCTGTGCTGGTGAAGAGTGGATCAAGACCATGAAGGCAGCGCTGAACCATGCGCCTCCTGAGATCAAGAACTTGATCATGGAGAAGCCGGTGAGAGACTACTTCAGATTCGGCAATGGCGGAATCTTAGAGAGTCAGAAGCGCATCAGGCTGCCGATTGTCGTGAAAAACCAAGTGGTGCTTCTTTGGCTAGCTGCCATTCCTTGCGATTCACTAGGGTGCCTGCTGGGGAAAGACTTCCTCGAGAGCTTGGGGGCTACTTTGAACTTCTCTTCAAAGAAACTCCAGTTGAAGTACCTCACTGAAGAATGGACACCCCTGAGCAAGATGAAAGCAGGTCATTTTTCTTTGAACCTTCTCCCAAAACCCTTGACCTCGTGGCCGACGCTTGGACCTCTCGCATGGCATGTCGTAGGTGTCGGAGGTTGCTGTGAGGTTCAATGTGAAGGTCGAGTCGCATGGAAGGCACACAATCGACTAGTTGATCGTTCGACTGACGTTGATGGTGACTTGAACATGGTTGTGCACTACATCCCGGAGTTCTTCAGCTCAAGCTCGTCCTGGCAGCTCGAAGATGATGCCCAATCTCTTCGAGATCTCCCCGACCGCTTCGCGATGGCAACGTCTTCTGCTGCGGATGGCTGCCAGGAGGACTTGGCATTGGAAGGGGGTGATGCTGTGGTTGGTGCAACGTCCATTCCTGCGCTTCCTGCCCGTGCCCTTGCCGGTGGTCACGAATGCGGAGGAGTGGAAGACCCAGCTCAAGGACATGGTGCGACGCAAGGTGTGGCCGAAGCGATGGTTGCCGAAGGCCCAGGAGGTGATGAGTCTTTTGCACCTTCAAGAGGCTCAGACGCTTCGCAACCGCATGGGCTTGGAGGAGGCGTTCATGGAAGACGAGGCCGTGATGTTCGGGATCAAGGCACTGAAGAAACCTCCCCGTGCTCGGAAGCAAGCTGCACTAGTTCAGGCTACGCACCAAGCAATCGCAGAGCTGGAGGGCCGGAAGGAAGAACTCGCCAGAGAGCTTCTCGGACCCCGAGGCGGGATGCCTCGCAACAAGGCAGACCTGGTCAAGCTGGCGGTTCTCCTGAACGTGACCGTGGACCCCAAGGACACCAACGACCAGTTGAAGGCCAAGTGCAAGCCATGGTGGACGTTCTGATGGGGAAAGCCCTTGGCTCGAGCCCAGAGAGATCCAAAGGATCCGCAGAAGGCAGCGACCTCAAAGGACCAATGACTGGCTCGAAAGCGATGGAAGTATCAGCGCCAACAGGACCAACTGCACAAGCCCCAACTTTGAGTCATCTCCAAGTACCTTGGGGACTCCCAATGAACCCGGATGGGCAGGTCCACTTCGACCACTTCAACCCCCAGACCCGTTCAGTTCAGGAAGGTTGGGTACTCACTCCTCAGTTCTACCAGCTGAACGAGACAGACGATCAGATGCTGTGAAGCTTTCAGTTGGCACCCTGGGGAAAGCAGCCTTCAAGGACTTGAAGAGTGGTGCACGCCTGGCAGTTCGAGATGGCGTCATGAAGGCCAGACGGATGAGAGATAAGATGGGTGCTCCAGTTAGCTATCTCAATGAGATCATGGAGGCAGAATACGTCGACTTCATCGACAAGGTGGCCAGTGGTCAGGAGGCCGAAGTGTTCATGGCGGACCTCCACATGCCGCCTCTGCCTGCCAGTCGGTTTGACTGCATCCGCTTG